TATAGCAGGACCCAGGTATCGATCCGCCCCTTCCTCGATGCATTGACCGCCCCCCCCTTGGAGGACTCCTGGATCCGCCCCTGCAGGGAGAGTGGTGCGACCCCGCTTGCTACAGTCTTGAGCATTATTCCGTCAACTATTCTCGCAATGGCGGAGAGCCTCGATCGAGATCCTACCCATAATTATTCGGCCATCTTCACTCGATACTTCCGAAGTATAAGGATACTCTTTTCTTGAGCGGGGTAGCACATCCCATCGACTATCCCTTTTCCGAAAGCGTTCGCGGGCGGTTCTAGAGTAAACTCTCTCGATGCCAGGTTGGCTGCTTCTTGGGGACCTCGTCGCTCAATTTTTTCACTGCTCTGGACGGAGATCCCTCCGGAAGCTCGAAATCCCAGACTCCGAGCAGTCCGAAGCTATCTCCGTCAGTTATCTGGCTCTGACGCAGGACTTTCTCCCAGACTCAGGCTCAAAAGGAGAAATCGGGCAAAAATCGATTACGCCTGTGATCGACAAGAGGCTCCCTCAGTGGCGGCACAGCGATAGCAGCGAATCGAGGTATTGACAACTGCCATGGGGTTATCCGGAACGAAAGAGTCCGAAGGTCTTGCGCAAGACCGATTTGTTGTCCTGCTTCCCCTCCTGCGCCAAACATTCATCTAGGTCTTAGAGCCACTGAAAGAGGGACCCTGCAAGCGCAGGTCAGATTGTGTTTGAGGCAGGGCGAGTTCCACTATGGGGATGCCGTCGAACAACCATCCCATCGCGAAAAACGATCGTTTCACTGATCATCCTTCAGGCCCGGGGAGTTCGGAAAAACTGATCCGTTTGAGCGGAGCCGCACTTCCGCCATGAATTCTGCGCATCTTTCGAGGATTGCTCTGCTGCTCGTCGACACTCGCGTCTTTTTCGGACGAGGCGGGGGAATCTCTCGGGAGTAACTCCTGACCGCTCTCGGATGAATTAATCGCCGAGAAAGCCGAAGAGCCGTGAGGGATGTGGCCTTTGCATCACTCAGGAGAGAAGAAGAGAGAAGCCCTCACCAAGAGGCGAAAAAGCGTCCGCCCAAGAATACAGACTCCGTTCCGTGAATCAACAGTGGCTGTCCTTGGAGAGGTTTCCCCGACTCCCCAAGGGATCACCGCAGAACATCAGATGAATATCTGGGAGCAGAAAGGGTTCTCAACGACTCAATCGCTCGCTTCGAGGCCAAATTCCTTGCCATAGAGGGGAGAACTTCAGAATACGGACTGAAATAGTTCTGAGCTCATTACGAAGATGAGGGACTCCCGAGCTCTCCAATCGCCAAGACGCAGACTCCGATGAATACCATTCCTGTCCTTATCAGAGTTCACACTGGGGAAATTATGATTCCTAATTGCTCGTAAATTACAATTTCTCATTACTCTCTCATTCCTCAGTATCCTTGGCTTCCGGTGATATCAATAAGGATCAGACGATACGCGATCTTCCCAGACTTTCATGTCACACTCCCAATGTCCCCTCCATTCCAAAGCGTCCTCCGGGGTCGATTCCCCCCAATCAACGTTGGAATCGATAGCATGTACCACATATCCCTCAACCCTCAATCAGTCCACGAGTGTACGAGGTGTCATTTCCGTCAGGGTGGGTAGGAAGCTATCGTCAACGGGCTACTTGAGCTCAATGCAGCGATTCGAAGACAATTCCCCGTGAAGTGAGACCCCGGGATATAGAGTCAGATCTCTTCAAGGAAAACACGCTCCGCAAAGGCGGGAAGGTTTCTGCCTAATACCCATAGCCTCAGTCGAAATCATGTCTCTTCATGAGTCCTCTGGGGATCAGAACTGATAAGAGGGCCACTGGAGGTGATCCGACCCGGCCCATTCCGCGTACCCACGGAGCGCCCTCTCAAAACTCTTCGGACGGAGAGATGCGCCTTTGCCTTGTGAGTCTCTCTCGAAGCGTCTGCTCTTGTGTTTTCGTAAAGCAGCTGACGGAACCCGGTGCTCCCCGACAGGCCCGGTTTGCGGGGGCCCTTAATGTAAACCTGTCTGCGTAGAGTCTTCGATCCGGAGTGATTTGAGCACGATGGCTAAAGCCGGCCTCAGAACAGTTTTCGTGACAGTCGGCACGACACAGTTTGACGATTTGGTGACGGAGGTGACCAAATTAGAAACGGTGCAATTGCTCAGTGGCTGTGGCTACTCGAAGATAGTGGTACAGTTCGGTTCGGGAACGATTCCGAAAATAAAGCATCGCGCTGTTTCTTTCTTCGATTTCAAAAGCAGTCTTGAAAACGACATGAGAGCCGCTGATTTGATTATCAGCCATGCCGGCGCAGGGAGTATTCTCGAAGCCGTTCGTCACCGCAAATCCAAAGTGAGGACCGAACCGAGTCAAAAACAACTCTTCTGTGTTGCCGTGGTCGGTGCGCGTATTTGGAATCTTTGAGAAATGTTTCCTCGCTTTTCGCTTGCAGTTGATCGTAGTCGTAAACGAAAAACTCTTGGACAACCATCAGCTGGAATTGGCTCGCGCCATGGACTCAAACGGCTACGCTGCGTGCACCACAGTAGAAAAACTCGCCGAAACCATTCAGCGGGTGCAGGATGAGGTTTTTGTGCCCTTTCCTGAACAAGACAAGAGCAAGTTCCCAGAGGTGCTCAACAACATTCTCGGATGGAGATAGACCCCGGGCGACAAGAGCTCAACGCGGTCATTGACTGATTTTTTCACCGACTCACACCGTCATCTCCTAGTCGCCTGTGAGGAACAACATCGGAGGGCTCGCCGGTGCCCGATTGGCACGCATGGATCTGTCATTGGTGTGTACCAGGGGGTCGCACGGGGACTCAATAAAAAAAGATACGTGCGTCATAACCGTGTAGAGAAGAGCCATGTTCCTCCTCATCCGGGAACCGAATGGTTCCTGCTTGCTCTATCATCGCCCATCTGTCCTTCGGCTTCGGAGAAGAGATTCAGGGAATGCATGGCCCGGAATTGCGCACTCTCCCGGTTCCTCGTGGAAATCGCTCCGCTCGCCAATCTCATGACTGGAGAAGAGGGACATTGGTCATGAAGAAACCGATTTTCGATCTCTGCACTGGGTTCGGTGATGGAGTTTCTCCGCCTAGCCGGATTGCTCGGAGAATAACTTCTATCAGAACTTATGTTTCCGATAGTGTCGCATGGAGACCCCTTGTCGGAGTCAGGAGGTTCGGCGAATGGGAACTTCGAGCAGAGCTTGCGAATTCCACGACGTGGCGGTCGAGAACAGGGAACGACTCGGCAACAGAGAGGAGGCAAGCCTAAATCAGCGCTCTGTGAAACGAGAGCGTCGATGGAACAAACCGAAATGTGTTCCCTTTTCATGTATACCGTCGCTGCGGACTGGAAATCCTCCGGTGGAGTCCGGATCGGGTCTGCGGGCCGATCCGAGCCCGAGGATTTTCCGCCGCCGATCCGGTCACGGGCCTTGGTAATGAAGCTAAGCGAAGCGTCGATGTGCGCGGCAGCGGCCTGCGAAGAAAGCGACTAAGCTGCGCCCACTTCCTTCAATCAGTCGCATAGGGATTAGTCGAGTCCGAGTCGGGATCGCCAGAGAGGATCCTCTGCCGGTCGAGAGTCATGAAATATTCAGCAGTTGATTCAATACGCTCCTGAAGCTGCTGAGGAACCACCGCAGCACCCATATAGCACCCACTAAGCAATCCATTGAATGGGAAGGTACCGATCAAGTGCGGATCTACTCGCATCAGCAGGATGGTGACTCGCTCGCGTCCACATCGCGCTTTCCGGGCTTTCGAGCGGGAGATAAATTTTTTGTAAGTACAGTGGTCTCCCTGGAATTCTTCCCTCCGATGCTCGAGAGCGACTTCGTGACATGAAAGCGTAATACGATCTGAATGACCCGACGGGTGACACTGGACACATTTTATCCATTGCACCTATCTATCATCAATTATGAATATCTTCTGTTTCATCGTACTTGCCTTGTTTTCGTCGAACACCCTGAAGACAAGTGATGCAAACTTTGAGGGGTCACCCCGTGGGAAGAATTGTTTGTAGATCCGGAGGAACCCCTGCTCAGTGAGAAGACCGTCTGGACAATCTTTAAGGAAGCCTTTATACCTGTAACGAAAATAAGAGTCCTCAGTCATACTCTCATTGTGGCTCAATCGACGCATTCCATACCGATGCTGTCCCGAGGGCTGTTTTCAATTCAAGAACTAAATCCGTAGGGTGATTGCCACCAAAAAAAAACTGTCCGACCGGAAAGTGTCTCGGGAAAGTTGCTCGAACAGTCGAGCGGAAGCTTCTCATTACGGCTTGACTCATAAACATTTACGGGCCTGACTTTCTGCCTGACCAGGGGCTCAGGGACGCGCCTCTGTGCCCATGGGGTATTCAGAGAGCAATGAATCCCTTCCCGAGAGCTTATCGATATACTCGGAGGTCGATAAGATCTCCCGGGTACCGGACGCGTGCTGCGTTGGTCCGACTGCGATTTGGCTACTGGCACACGTGTCGTTGCTCTTCCGAGGGAAAAATTATTCCCTCGTTCCCGCTCCATCGACTCGCGCTCAGGTTTCGAAAACCGGCGCTCTGAACAACCTGCCATCGAGAGCCTATGAATTTTCAAGCGGTCGGGACTCTCAAGAGGTAGTAGAAACCGCAATCCTTTCGGATTTTTGAGGCGTCGAGTCGGAAGCAAGAGCTTCCCACCTGTCTCGGATGAGTTTGTGCCGTTACTTTCCGGAATAGCCCGGCACCACATTGATCTCGAATCGAGAATAGACTCGATGGAGGAGATCCGCACTCGAAAGCTTTGAGCGATATTTTTGGAACGCTCTTAGATGGACTCGAGAAAATATTCCGTTTCCGTCCTCGATTCTTAAGAGATCGATGAATATCGACCTAGAGAAAGCAGTATGTCGATTCAATGGTGGTCGGCTGAGGGGGGCGGAGGCTTCGGATTGAAACAACAAATGTTTCCTTGGCTGTCGCGGTATCGATTTGCGATCTTTCAGCGGGCTTCGGCAATTGAGATGCGATTAATCGTCCAAGCTCTGGCGAGCTAAATATCCGCTGCACAGGCGAGGAGTCGAAAAACGGTCAGAGGACAGGGCTAATTGGATCCATTGAGCGAATAATAACTCGGGGATATTGCCGAGCGTTGGGAAGAAGTTTTGCCATGATTCACGGTCGATCGACGATCGAAGACTTCCGCCAGCAATGGAGGGAACCGGACGAATCGAGTTTCATTCTGGGATGAATTCGAAACTGACGAGAAATCTTCTTCCGGAGCAGCCGAATGAGTAGAGAGAACATGGAGATTCCCCACGAACCCTTGAACCCTCGGAATGATGAACGAATCTTTTTTGAAATTGCACAAGCTCCGTGTTTGATCGGCGCTTGCCGGAGGAACAGTAGGCAAGAATGTCGGAATACGCTTGACTCGGGTTTGAGAAGATGGTTCCGGAATTCTATCGATTCCCTGATTTATCGGGCTGGTTTCAATCCGTCCCAGGGCTTTTTTTCGAACAGAGGATACACACAGATCGCCCGATGGAGCATACTCCAGTAGTTGCTCTAGTCTCTTGGCAGTGTCGAGTGATTCATCTGTGAGCTCATTGGGTCCGTGGGGAGATCGCTTTCGGTGAGCGGCCGCCGTCGGCCGACCGTTGACGACGAGTCGGTTTTTCCATATTCAGGTCTCTGAGAATTCCGAGCTCAATAAGATGGATGGCCTCATCGGGTCCGGTTCCGGCGTGGATGGGAATATTCACGGATACCGCCTGCGATACTCCCGAACGAGATAGGCTTCGACAGTTTTCCAGCGTCGACTTGAACGCTACATGAGTTAGTTCTGAATGGAAGCGAAACTGCGAAGCGAAGGGTGCGCTTGGAATGAATTTCAGATGAGGCAAAAACGTTTTTGAAGAATTTCCCTCCGAGGGCGAATGGGAATGAGGTTTGTCGGGGACGAGCTGCCTTAGGCACCGCGTTTTATGTTTTCCATCTCGTCTCACTTGTTGAGTAGCTTCGGGCGGCTCAATGGCGAAGAAGTTTTGAGACCCTCCGCACGGAGGGTCGAGTGTGTGGGCGAGCTAGCCGGCTGGGTTGCAACAGAGCCTCGCTCTGAGCAGCAGCTACAGCAGTTGGGGATCAGTTTTTCTGTTTTGAAGAGATGTTGAGACTTCGCGGAAATCGCGAGCTGCTCTCCGGCTCACTAGGTGTCGGCGGCTTGCTTGCTCCGTCGGTCGGTCGAACCAAAGAACGAGCGAACTAGCACGCGCTAGCTCTCCAGTAGGCCGCCTCGCATGCCCCTCCGAAAATAACGCGCACGCAACGCTTCATCGCCGCCGATGCCCCATTCTCAGAGGAGGCGTATCTTCAATTCGGTGCCATAGGTCTAGCATGAGGCTGTGGTCCCCTCGAGCCTGGACTTCTCGCCACCACTAACATGTTCCACCTCGCCGTTTCCTCCAACAATTGATGCTACTGCTGCTCGCGAGTGGATCGGAGGCTTGCTCTGTCCGAATTTTTACCTCCGGTTCTATTTCGGACACAGGCCATTAAGCGGACTGTTCCCGGGCGAGCTCCTCGAGCTGGAAGCTTTCGAAAGACTTCTCTTCCACGAAGTCACCTCCCATCCTAGGAAACTGGCTCTGGCTGCTTGACCGACGGACTCTGACTGCTCGAGTTAAGCGAGCGACTGGCCGACCGACCCACCGCCTGCCGACCTACTCTCTGGCCCTAACTGCCGGTAGCCGTGCGAGGAATGGTTCCTCTGGTTTCCACGTCAGGAGAGACCAATTCCTGCATACTTGGGACGGACGCACTATGAGGCTGTTCCAAGTTCTCTCGGGCTCCCGAGGCTGTTCCCAGTTCTTCCGGGCTCCCGGAGCACAGGCTTGGTGAACTTCAATGCATGTCTTATCGGACATGACGTGGAATTCATCTTTTATAAGACATGACTCGGAATTCATCCCGATTCGGACTCATATTGATCCGAGCCCTTCTCTCGCAGGAGTCTTCTTATTCCCCTCCCTTCGAGGGACATCTTCTTCATTTTCGCGGCGTGAATCTGATCGATTGTTTTTAAGAACACGTCGGCGAGCTCTTATCAGGTTGATTCCTCTGTCTCGAAATTCTCGTCCACTCACTTAGCGCAGTGACATCCACGCGCGGATCGATCGGGGGTCCGTATGGGACGGCCGTCATGATTTGAGACTCCCTTCTGTGTCGCTCGCGCTTGGAGAAACTCCCCGATAGATTCGTGTGAGCAGCGTTACCCTCGATTCTTAATTATGTACTCACTCCATGCCGTATCTTTCTCTCAGGGCTTCCATCTCGAATCATCATCTTAATCTCGGAAATGACGATTCTATGGGACGCTAACTTCTCTGGCGACTGCTCACCACAAGCCAGCTGATCAGCGGAGCAGTTTCATCAGTTTTTGGAAGTTCTTCTTTCATCAGGTGCTTGCCCAGTGCTCGATTGGAAGCCGCCGCCTACCTTTGGTCGGCGCAGTTTTTCTGTCGATCGACGTCCGGGGGTTTTTCTCCACTGAACAAGTCATTCTGAATGAAAAAATCCTGTTGCCTGCAGTCTCCTGATGAGTTTTTGCTCTAGGTTCCCTCTCTATCCTTTCCTCATCTCCGAAGATTAGAAAACCAACCAAACAATCTATAGACCGCGGCGAAGAGTTCCTGACGACAGACACTTACACTGGAACGACAAGGGACATACACAGGAGGATTGCAGAAGCACCTCGGGAGAGCTCAGCTTTGGCTTGTGTTTTTCCCATTCGTATCTTTCTCATTCTTTCTCGGAGCATACGAAAAATCTTTTGCGAAGTCCTCTCTCCGATGCCCTGCAGGGATCCCTGGGATGCTCGGCGCCGCTCATGCCCTCCGGCTCCGGCAGACCGAACCGATGTTTCATCTCGCGGGTATTACCGCAAATTCCCGAAACTTTGTTCGCCGGCTGGCTGCGGCTGCCGACTGTGTCCGCCGTGTGCAAATGAGGCTTCATGCATGTCGAATACTCCTCTATTTATTCGCGAATCATGGAGGCTTCTCGACTGTGCTGCCACATAATTTTCTACTTTTCCTCTTCAGTTTCCTGTCCTGCTGTTTCGCGCGAGTTTCGTTGGGAGCGAATTACCGGGAGCGTGGCCCGTTACGTCGACTGGGAAGAGGATTTCTACCCTCTATGCATGCCTGTAGAAACTTGGGCGACAGGTGACATCTGCAATTCCAGGCCGTGTAGATTCGCTCGAGATTTGATAGGGAACATTAGCTGCAGCTCGAAGAAGAAGTTTCCTCTCGGCTGATTGCGATGGCAAACCGCTGCGACATGACGAGGCTGTCGGATATTATCAGCAGAAGTAGCATGTCGGCTCAAAGAATTACTCTGAGATCAATCAGCGTACCTCGTGGCAAGAGCAGCCGCGAGAGCGTCGGCATCCTGTGTCCTGTGTTTCAGGCTCGCTCGATTCATCTTGATGCCCTTAAGCATGCTGGAAGCTGAGTCGACTAACGGCATCGTCTCTGTAAACGGCATCTAGAAATTCTCGGGTTTCGGAAGGGGAAGCAGCCCGAGTTGCAATAATTAGACGGAGATCTGGCTCAGCTACAGACCTGTCCCGAAACGAAATTCCAACTGATGAATCGCCGCCGGATAGGTTCCTGTGATTAAGTATATTCACGTTCTCGAATTCCTCACTCCTTTTTCATTCATTTTTTCAGCGACGCCGACGCCTAAAAATTGATGCGTTCCGCACCGCATCTTGCTCAGTGTGCCCTCGACAAAATTATTGAGTACCTAGTAGGGAGACTCAGCGACTCATCCCCATGGAAGACTTTTTTTCGCTCCCACTCCTACGAACATCTGACTGGATGGTTCAGTTCTTATCTCAATCGGACAAGCAATTGACCTTCTGGTCTTCACCTCCCCTGTCGCGAGGAAAAATGAGGATGGGGGTAAATTCAGTTCATGGAATTCCACCCTCGGAAAGAAGCAAAAGAGAAGGCAAATAAGCCACTGTCGCAACGAGAGGGATATGACGAGAACGCCGGTGGAAGCGAACATGGAAGGAGTTTCGGGGAACTTGGGACAGGTGAGGGAGAGAATACGAATCAGGTGCCAGCGACCGACGCCACTGAGTTAATGGGGAAACTTTAATCAGCGAGACAAAAGCTTTTTTGAGAGGTTATCCAGGCTCCGTCTCCGAATCAACGTGGATCACCGCTTCGCTTGCTCGCGCAACCAAGGAACTAAGTTACACGAGATTCCCGCCGACTCACAACTCGCTGCGTTTCCGCGATGAGGAGAATTCGCTCCCGAAAAATGTTCGTCGCTACGACGGAAAGCGTATCTGCCGAATTCCAAGACGGCTCATTGAAGAGGACCGCGCTGAGAGACGATCGAAACGACCGAGGTTTGTCGAAAGTTCATACTCTGAGGAGCAACGAGTCTAATTCTCGTTTGCTTGGTCTGAGCTGGTGAGTGCGGTCGAGATCAAATGCGGTAGATTTCGCGCTTGAAATCCATTGCGGAATGAAGCTTTCCCGAGCGTTGTGGTCGGGAACTATCCTTTGGTGGACACGACCTTGTTGTGAGTATATAATTAATGACGGTCACGATCTGCACTTGACGCGTGAGCAAACAGCGGAAGATGCCATCGGGAAGTGGCCTAAGGAGTCGCCGTTCGACAAAGGGGATCAGGCGGTTCTGACGACGGAAATACGGCTCCCTGAAGGAGGGAATCATCCGTATATTCACTCGGACGCTGCTGGGACTGAGTCCCCTCTCTTCCTGCGTACTTGGTCATTTCAATCGCTCCTCGCAGAACACTTCGGCGGACTTGCGAATCGGTTCAGAGCACATCTTATTCGAAGGAGCAGCTATTCGGGCCCGCGATACGTTCCCGCACCGACTCTGAAGCGATTTGCGATCTCTTCCTCCGGGAAAAACGAGTCAGCGATATTCAGAATGTGCGAGGGGGGGTTCCTCGGAGCCTGCTCGCTCGGTTGTTCGCTCGTTAGATCGGTCGGACGGACGGTCGGTCGCTCGGTCAAACCGATTCGGGCAGCGGCACCGCGTTAAACAGTGGAGTCGTATGTGGCAGGCCTGCGCTTCATATTGAAGCTCCCGACCGCCCCCACGGGCTTCGACGTCCGACGGACCGCGCACTTGGATGAACCGGCAGATCCAACGGCCGACCGATTGGATGGCCGAGCCTAATAAGAATTTGGGAAGTTCCCTGGTTTTTCCAAGCCAACAATTCGTGACCAATTGAAGCGTCTGGCCTCTGCGGCTGGCCGGGCTCTAGCCTCGTCAAATGGAGATTCCCGCCAGGAAGCACGAATGGGATCTGCAGCTCGTTGATGAGGTCGCGCAATGCGAGAGCTTGTTGGTAGCGCGTCTTGATAGACTTATTCGCCCGCAGCGTCGCCTCCGTGACATGTGATGCCTCTACATTGTTTGACAGGCGTCGCCCGGCTGCTAGTCAGCATTACAAATGATGGAACATTTCTCTTTCTTTCCAAGGAGAGAGATTGGAGAAAAATGCAGCGGGCATCGTTCCAAGGAGCGACGTCTTTGTCATGCTTGTTGCCTCGGCAAAAGAGCGGAAGACTGAGAGCCGCCTTTCCTGCTCGCGTTGTATACTTTTGTTATTTGTTCGGAATGGAAGGCTGAATAAATACCCGCCTAAATGATTCCCGCTCCTCCTCATGGACGCATGCACGAACAAATCTCTTTGTCCATGTCGGCTTTGTCAGAAGCGACTGAGCATACTTGAGCGTCTCGACTCCGGATGCTGTCAAAAAACTCGTTTTCTCGCGAAAGCCGTCACTCCCAGAGCGGAGGATCGCCGGTACGGCGGAATTCTGATCGATGATCGTCTCTTTCTCTAGAAGTCGATCAGGCACTCACTCAGCCACTCACTCAATCCATCCATCGACTGATCGCTTGGTCGCCCACTCAGTGCGAAGCCGCCGTCGGGGTTTGCCCGTCAGAAACCTAATGAGGTCTCGTGTTCCTCTCTAAGAGTTCTCTGCTTCGCTCAGGAGAAGCGCAGGAGCTCGGAGTCTCTCGAGATCTCGAGTACACTTGAACTTTTGAGTAGCTATAGCAAAACTCTCCTGAGATCGGACGCAGGGACTCTCCGGTTTTTCTTGTTTTCCGCGCGATGAACAGTCGTGTTCTTGAACCGGACGCCCTTAATTTCGGATCGATGGCCTTTTGCTGCATCATATTCCCCTCGCACCGCTCATTTCGATATTCATCCTTTCCTTAACCCATCGGAACGGTTGTGTAAACGCCTGATCGTGAGCCACGTCGGAGGTGTTTAGCCGGAGACGTGGATGTAGGTATTTTCGGCGGCACGTCGCCGGAGGAGCGACTAGAGAGAAAGAGAGAGACTCTCGCTAGCTGTCAATTCAGACAGTAGTGACAGATAAGAGCTGGATTCGGCAGAGAGTGCCATAGCTGCCGAGGGAGGACCTTGTGGTCCGACGATGACGGTCGAATAAACGCATTGAACTGACTTAAGTGATTTCCCTGTTCCTGAGGTGAATCCAGGTAGTAGACTCCCATAAAAGAGTAGTGACTACGGTTGTATGGTCGTAGACGCTCGATTTTCTCGAATAGTTTCTTTCGAGCGTAAACGTGAACAAAACAGGGAGTAGAGACGTCGGGAGAATTTCAGAACGGAGGGCGACGGCAGTCCAAGAGTGAATCAGATTTCGAGTGTTGAAAATTGGATCACTCTCCCGGGCGCGGAAGCTCTTACATGATTCGAGTGTACGATTCCTCTTCCGTGGTGACGATACAAACCACGGCATGGACGAGCTGTCAACAATTATTGCCAACCAATAGCGACAGAGCCGCGAGTCACGCTCCTTCATCACCCGAGATGAGCGGACGTTGGATGCGGCTTGCGTTCGATACTCACTCAGTCAGAGAGGAACTGTATGCACGTGCATAGCATCGAACGATAGTGGTCGTCTACGGAAAGCTCGTTCTGACGGTTTTCAGCACGGAGCCCCAGCTCGGTTTTGAGCCCACGGGACTGAATTCCACTTCAAGTTGCAGATTCTGGGGTTGAACCGTGTGCGGAATTCCACGCGGGAAAAGACTGGTCACAAATGCATGTATCCGCCGCTGCCTCGATGAAGGGACTTGCGTCGTCGGGCTTACGGTTTGCGAATGAGGCAAAGGAAAACCGTATAATGGATTTCCCGGATGACGGCCGGGAATTTCCCTTCTGTTGCTTGCACCGATTTCTGTCGATCGGCTTTCCTACAACACCTGCACTCTCTGCTCGGCGAGCGACGACAATAGTATTTTCAGCGCAAATGGGAGAAAACTCAGCTCCGCAGCGCGGTCGGGTCAGGGTGTCGAGCCAAAAATATATTTGACCGGCGCCATGGAGTGCAGAGATATTGCGAAAAGGTGAAGTTTCCCGATCGCGAAAGGACGGCGATCGTGTCCCAGTTGCGGTGGAGTCTATTTGGTTCCACTCCTCAGCAGCGGAGGCGGCGGCGACGACGAGTGGAAATTGATGACTCGACGTTCTTCAATTCCAGTTTCGGAAAGTCGAACCGTGACTCCCAAGATCGGCTTGTTGAAAATAAGAAGAGTTCAGTCTGTGCAAGGTTCTTCGATTCTGGAATAGGGTGTTCTGGATTCTTAGACGACCATGTCTTCATGATTTTCGGGGAAGGAGTACTTATCGACATTTGACTCCGTCTATAGGAAATTCTTCCCCTTCCAACCGCCAGACGGACACAACAAATAAAACTTCATGTTGTGATTCTCTCTCTATCGCTGTGGTCGATTCCCGCCAGTCGTCTGGTATCGGCTTGTCAGGTCTTACCGTGGAACTTGACATTTCGGAGGATTACACCTCTTTCTCATAATATTCCCGTTAGCGATTGCTCACTTCATTCTACACTCAGGGATCGGGTCCCCGCTCGCAATCGTCTCAGTTGCGAGTTGCGCTAAGGTCCGTGCCTTCCGAAGCGATGTCGCTCGCACAAACAGGATCGTCCAACGCCCGCCAGAGTCAGAGCGACGAAAACTTATGATACATACAGGTAAGCGTATATCGGAGGCTCATCGCGAATGATCGAAAACTTGTCTTCAGCAAGAGCAGCACCGCTGTAACTCCCGACACAAGTCCGGGACAGGAAGTTCCCGGGAAACATCTACGTGACAAGGGGGGAGGGGGGCAGGTGATTCGCTCGGAGGACCCTTAGGACCTAATTACTCAAGTCGTCGAGCCTTCGCGATGGTAGGCAATGAGGATACTCACCATTGTCTAACTTCTTTCTCGGTGACTGAAAGAGAAAGAAACACGTTAGTCGTTCTGTCGGCGTCGTTCCCAATCGATCAACATAAAACACCTACGTTCCCTGTCACATGTTTCCCACGGGGCAATGGGGACTGACATACGTTTGTAGGTATATATGTAGTCCGAAGAAATCGCCAGCGGAAAGGGAAAGCGAGACATCAGTCGGAGGGAAACAGTCTCGAAGACGTGAGAACATCCCAAAAGAGACGAGAATAGGAGACAGCGCTCGACGGTAAATAGATCTCGCTATGCAAACAGCTGCGTTCTGTGCCTCCGAATCTTTTCATGTCTATTCCAAGTCCATGAATCGAGAGGATAAGTCCTATGAGCACGCTGTCAACAGCCAGACCCACGTATCGTTCTCGAGTAGCGATGATCTAAAATCCATTTGTGGATCAATTTCCGCATTGAAAGGGCTCGCGGAAGCCGATCGTCGCTGAATTTCCCTAAAAATCCCTGTCGTTGCTGTGCGTGACAACATGCACTACTCCCAAATCTGTAACAATGTTTGCTTTCCATCAAGCAAGCCGAAGCCACTGCGGGATCTCTCATGGGTTCAAGAGTTCTCCTCGGCATCTACGTTTCCGGACGACCGTCGTTCTCAATATCTGATACTCAATCGAAGATCAAACAATGGTCTCAAGAGTGCAGAGCGACCGACCGCAGAGCTCCAGGGTACGACCAATCCATCAGGACCCCATCATCGTGTTCGGCACCCAGCTAACAATCTGCGAAATCACACGTCGGGCATTCGCTCGAGCATTTCCCTGGAGCCCGAGAGTCACCTATGGAGAGTCAAATGTTCTCCTTTTGTAGCCTGATTGTCATCCATCAATTCAGACAAGACCCCCCAGGTTTCCAATCCATCAGGAGTGCTGTTGAGAATCTCGCAAGTCGATGGGGTTTTCCGTCGGAGTAGGAGGTCGCCGCAGTCCCCATCGACAGCCTTGCTTTACGTGAGCTGAATTAGTACTCGCTGAGAGCTCGCACCTCGGTGACTTCACAAGTCTCCTGCTTGGATTTGGGAGGCAACTCTCGATTCAACTGGCTCTCGATGGTCGCATTGAGTGGTAAGAGGTCAAGTTCCCGAACGGATGCCAGGGCGACTATGAATGTGTCTAAGAGTCTGTTTCCAATGGAGCATAAGGCAATTCCGCCTCTTGTTGCTGTCGGTCGCTCGACTGTTCCCCTATATGAGGCCAGATCGTAGAATTGCTCGTCCGTGACCGCTCGATGATCACGTAGGCCATTCGCCAAGACACTCGGAGCATTCCAGCATAATTTTTATATTCACATATATGCACAGCTCGGAAGGGGGCGTTCGACATCAGAATCTCGGGATAATTTTCTGACTCTTACTTTTTACTCCTTTCGCCCAACTCCTCTCAATATAACGCCGACCGCAGCTACTCGCGGCACGAACGCCTCGATCCGTCGGCAGAATCCGACCGGTCGGTGGCCCCCGGAAAGCCAAGGATATTACCCGAGGGTCGAAGCCCGAAAATGAGCTGTGAATCGTTCTCGGAGAAGGAATCTCTCATTGTGGGAACTGTTTCAGCTGTATCGATTGGGGAAGGTGCTCGGCGGCATGGTCCCCGATGACGCCGAGAATCTCCATGCATCGAGAAGGCCAGGCCGAGATTCCGGGACGGATGGATCGCGCGGCGTGGTCACGTTCTTATACTAGCCGCGGCTGGGACGGGGAACAGCCGAACACGAGCAAGGTAATGGAAGAGCCGGGCGAGCACGCGTAGCGTCAAACGCTTGTTCTGTCACGTCACGAGCGGAGCAGGTTTCGGTGGAAAAAACGAGAACGTTGAATGCTCCCACTACCCACCCACAGACCGCTGCACTGTGGTGTACTTGACAGACCTTCGCTTCGCGATCTGGAATCTCTGTTTCTCACTGAGAGCAAATTTACACGGTATGTGCTCTACTCCTCTGAGAAACTCGACGAGTTCTCAGGTAGTCGGCTACGACGCGCCGTCCCTCCAGAAACCATGTTTGTCATCTCATTTGCGACAGGAACCTTCACCCGAAAATAACTCGCTAGTGCAATCTGGAGGATTGGAAGCAGGGACCCATCGTTTCGTCGGTCACGAAGTTCGTTGAACCCTCCGTATGATACCGCGAATCCGATTGACGTGATCGCATGACCCGACGAACATCCTAGAAGGAAGCCTCCTCGCAGGCACTCTCCGATCGAGATTATCCGGAGTAAGGAGCCACGCTCAACGCCATACTGTTCTCACAAGGCAGTTCTGGGGTGCAGAGCGCCCGATTTCTGAGCTGGGGACAGACGATCTCCGAATGGAGCCTCCCCATATGTCCGCGGGTGTTACTGCGATCCGTTGCACGCGTCCAACCAGCCCCACGGAAATTCGCATGGCGTCCCTCGCTCTCTGATCTCCACCCTAACTGATTCCCGCCTCATTCGAGGAATAGTGTAGAATCGGATGATCTCGGAACTATGGTGATCTTGATGCCAGGGTTTTCTTCCTGAGCTCTGGGAGAGTTTTCCCGTCTGTAGATATCCAGGATCGCTTGTACTCTTGGCGGCACAGCCCATGACGCCGGCAGGCGATCCATGACCCATGACGGCGGTGTGCGACCGCCGGCACGACGCGACACCATCCGCCAAATTGCAGCCGCGCGGGCGAGCTCCCCTTGTTCCTACGCTGCCCGGAGCGGTTTGCTAGAGTTCCCATTCGATTATCCCGAGCTAAACGGTGACGACGTTATGCGAGGAGGGAAGGATCAAAGGAAAAGAATGTCCCTGGGTGTGGAAGGGGCAAGCTCGGTGTTCGCCCGACTCCATGAAATTCTTCCATAGCGAATCGAGATGCGAGATCATACGGGTAGTACGTCTCGCCATTGCCATCGAGTCCGAAATTAGGGCGAGGTAAGCCCCTCGATATCGATTCGCTCCCTCAGAGCGCCACGGACCGACATTCATAACGACCCGTTCGCCATACGAACGAACCGCATGGTCGACCAGCCAGCTCGAGTGCACGACAGCTGCAGCGTTCGAGTTCCGTGGGGATCCATTGGCTACAGGTGGTTCCGGGAGGCCACAAAAATATCGCATCGCAGCTCATGTTATCCAACACGAGGCCCGGTGATTCTAATGCCGTACCGCGTAGCGCTGTACGCGGATCGGGTTGAGAGCTCTTATATGTATGATGAACTATTCGTACCCAGGAGTCCGGGCTCACCATCCCAAAATACTCAATCCTCGATCCCGCGATTACAGCAGCAGAACCGGACCGAGACTTTTGCCGTTCGCTGAGCGGGAGCAAAAGAAATTTCATGGTGAAACTACGCCTCGACCCCTTTCGACGAACTTCCCGCCGTGTAGCATTCGAGGCCACCTCCTTCACCTGATCTCCTCAAAAAAGCTCGAGCGAATCGGAGAGAGACACGTATCTGATGCGATGCTTCATGAGAATATGTCTGAGGCCTCCTTCGTATGAGGGCCTCGTGTTTCAGTTTACGACACAGCGGTATTTCTGATGTCCCTCGTGCGTTTCCTCGCGTCCCGGGCTCCCCGAAGACGTGACGTTGCGACATTCGCGAGGAGGGAACGCAAGGGTCGAACGCAAAGAGTATAGCGCGAGCCGGACGAGCTGGGAGAGAAGCGTGAGGTGCCTCGTTATAACACGCTTTTATACTAGTTGTCCATTTTTATAAAGGCGGCCTCCGGCAGCTGCAAGAGCAGCGCGACTCCTTCCTGAGTCACTGACTCGGGGCCGAAAATTCGCTTAGGACTCAACGAGCCAAGCTCCGGCACAAGAGAACCTGCTCCCGAGACTTCGGATTGAACGAAAATTGACAATGATTGATGGTAGCGATTATGCTGTGACCTAAGTCGTGCAGGGGCCCCAGCCCTGCTATTCATCGCAGAAACGTCCCCTATCATATCAATTTACTGCGAAAGCGTTCCTCTCGAGAGATCAGATCGTAACTTCGGAGTGGAGAACGCCGAGTATATCATTCGATGGTCGGACAGTGTCCGGCTTCATTAGGTCCAGCGCATCGAGAGGAGGAATCGAACGGAATGAGGTGACGACGCAGGGCGCATTAGGTCAAGAGCCCCGAGAAGGTTTCCTGTTACGTTCGATTTCGGCCATCCAACTCGCTGGCTGACTCGGAATCGATTGGGCCAACATCCGGCCGAGCCGATGGCCGAGGAGATCGTTCCCGAGGGTCTCCTCAACACTCGTCACAGAATTCCGTCGAGAAGGTCCCAATTGTTTTTGTCGAGCAGCTTCGCGGCCATGTCTCGTGGGCGATTTCGTTTTCTCACTGTTGCGGAATTTTCGAGTCATGCAATCACCAGAGACCTTTCCTTCAAATATTTCATTATCCCTCGGGGACGAAGGTCGATGTCCACGAGGGCTTGGTGGCATTTGGTGGGGAGCTGAATAATGTTCCGACTTCTAGCATACGAAAACACTACGGTAGTTTCAGTCCCTCGATTGAAAGCACACTCGTCCCAGCCCAGCAGACGACGTCACCCCGGAAAAAACGTCGCACCGGTGGAGAGCTGAACGGAGCGTCCGAAGTTGTTCGCGACGCTCATACGCGGATTGATCGATTGTTTCGGGATGGCATCCGGAACCGGTTCTCGTTCCTATTTCCGCTAAATACGGAAGCTCGGAGCTCGACCTCTGTCTGGCTGACGGCATCGCGCGGACACGACACGACATGCCTCCACCGACATGGACTCGATATCGACTCAATCGAGAACCCTAGTATGTACGAGGTCCCTCATATCACCGATGGCTTGGGGCTGTCGCTGACGTATCCTGCGAGAGGAGACGCAAGCACATGATGTCATTCGCGAATAGCAGCTTAGCCCGTTTTGTTCTTGGGACCGTCGCGGTCGCCGTTTTCGCCGGTGCCGGTTATAGGCACGGACAGAAAATTCCGATTTTGTTTGAATGGGTCCCCATTAGCGCTCTGATGATTATAGTCTTTTTAATG